AACTCTTTCCAAGACCTTCATCACCGATGCGAGGATGCCGTCATCGTCGTCGCCTGCGTGATCAGCATCGGTGCCCGCGCTGGCCGCGCCTTCGTCGGTGCGAGCATCGTCACCAGCATCGCCACTATCATCATCGCGCCCGCCCAGGTCGCTGACTCGCAGTGAAGTGTCCGCTGGGATGCGCCAAGCGGTCAGCGCCACCGCGGCCGCGTCGGTGGCGCCAAACTAGCTGGCCGTTGCGCGCGCGTGCTACGGTTGGCGCGGCCGCAGAGATGCACCAGCCAACGCCAAGCATGCATCGCAATCGTCACCGCATGGGTTTTGCAAACCAAGTTGCGGGTGGGTGGGTGGGATGTTTGCAAGAGCGTGGGGCGTGTCAACTCATGGGTAAAAAACAACTCTCCTTTCTAACAGGAGAACAGAATCTGTCATCACCCCCGCTGGCTTTATCACCCTCCTTTTCGTATTGCCAATTACATACGATTCTGCCCCATCGTCCATCCTAAATTTGAGTTCGTACCATCCCAGTCGAGCCGGTATCGCCCCCCCCGCCGCCCTCTGCAAAAAATACTATGCGCCCGCACTCGTTTATCACACATCATCCACTTCCAAGAACCAGTTGGACAAATGGGACGGAGTGCCTTTGAAAACCCTTCGAGCTCGGACATGCTCTAGCACCGAATCTCCAAAAACAGATAAATATCTATGTGTTCGCAACGCGGGTTTTCGAAACAAGACGTGCGCACGTTTTTTCATATTATTTTGATTCTCTATATTAAAACGTCTTGCCACTAGTATCATTTATATTCGTATTATGAGTATTTAGAGTATATACGCATAAGTTTGTCCAGCTTTTTCGAACATGCTGCCAAACTGGTTTCGCGCGTGCGCGTGTCGAAATCGTTCAAACGCTTTCGCGCGTGTGCCGTCGCGCGAATCCTCTGCAACAAATGGGACGAGGTGCGCACGCGCGCGTCGTCGCGCGCGCATGCCGCAATCCTTTCAAACCTTCGGTTTCGTGGCCGTTTCAATTTTTTTTTGTCGCGCGTTCTTGCGAATTCTTCAGACAACCGTTTTTCTCTAACATCTTCATGCAGTTCTGCCAAGCGGGCCTCTGGCGCCGCATGCGGACATCATTCGCACGCCCTTGCACGCGTGCTGGGGAGGGGGAGGGGGGGGCACGATCCGTGTTACGTAAAACTACGCGGGCCACTCTCGTGCGTCGGCCGCGCGCGCATGTCGAACTCGATCCAAAACCTTCATCACCGATGCGAGGACGCCGTCATCGCCGTCGCCGGCGTGATCAGCATCGGCGCCCGCACTGGCCGCGCCTTCGTCGGTGCGAACGCCGCCAGCGTCGCTACTATCATCTATCATCATCGTGTCTACCGTTGTCGGCGTTGCCATGATACCGCGCCCGCCCAACTTGCCGACTCGCAGTGAAGTGCCCGCTGAGATGCGCCCAGCGGTCAGCGCCACCGCGGCCGCGTCGGTGGCGCCAAACTAGCTGGCCGTTGCGCGCGCGTGCTACGGTTGGCGCGGCCGCAGAGATGCACCAACCAACGCCAAGCATCCATCGCAATCGCCACCGCATGGGTTTTGCAAACCAAGTTGGTGGGTGGGATGTTTGTAATAGCGTGGGGGTTGACAACTCATTGCGGGCAGAAGTTTATTGCACCACTTAGACTGCACCACGTAGACTGCGCCACATATATTGCATTACGTATGTCATGTACATTGCACCACCTATTATGCCAGAACGCTCAGTTTGGGATGCGCGCGCGCGCTAACATGTTCGATTTCGGGGCCGAACGCGTATTCCGCTTTACAGATCAATTCCTGGGCCGCCGTGTGAGACATCCTCAAGGCATTCTGGCAAGCTGGTTGTTTGGTTGGCGAGTTGATTGGTTGCCCGACTGGATGGTTGACTGGTGGGTTGGCAGTTGGTTGGTTGATTGGCAATCGGATTGGTTGATTTGTTCTATGGCCGGTTGGTTAGTTGGTATGTTGGCTCGTTGGTTGGTTGGTTGGTTGGTCGGTCGGTTGATTGGTGGAACGGTTGGTTGGTCCATCGGTCGTTTGGTCGGGCACTGACCCGAATCGTACCACTTCAACCCTCACCGTAACAGTGCAATTTGGCCCCATGTCTAACAACCGAACCCTACTTCTGAGCACACACACCCAAAGTAGAAAGTAGAAACCCTACCACTCTAACCAACACACGCTGACCCTAGAACCCTCAGCCTAGCCATACGTATAAACACCAAGGTAAACACCCGATGCTCAGCCCTGACACCCTATTTCGTAACCTGAGTTTTAATGAACCACATACTGCAATTCTGAGTTTGGAGTTGTACTGCAGTACTATATCCGCCACGTGGTAGCGCAAGGGGGCGAAACAGAACAAATCGACGCTGCACATCACGTGGCAACGGAAGAGCGTCAAGCATACTATGTCATCATATCCGTCAAGCAGCAACGCCTGCAGGCAGAGCGAATTCTACTCCATCGTGCTCGCCGCGGGGCAACGCAGAGGGGGTCTTCAAAAAGCATTTTTCCTTGTTCCGTCACGCGGCAACGCAGAGGGGCGAACACAACACACATTTTTCATGATAGTCGCCACGTGGCAGTATAGAGGGGCGGAAATACAAATCTGCGCCATACGTCACGCGGCAACGCAAAAGGGGCTGATGGTCTACTATCCAGCTTGGTTCGTCACGTGGCGACGCAGGGGGGGCGGGCACCATACGATTCCACTTTGTTCGCCACGCGGCAATGCACGGGGGCTGAAACAACACCATGCCAATGTATTCGTTATGTGGCGACGCAGGGGGGGGGCGACAACAGACACATTTCACTCTAGTCGCCACGTGGCAGCGAGGGGCACAGCACATACAAATCTACGCTATACGTCACGTGGCAATGCACATGGGCTGAGAGTACATGATTCTACTCCTATTCGTCACGTGGCAGTGCAGGGGAGCCGAAGAATTCGAGCCCACTCTGGCACGCAATATCCGTGATGTGGCAATGCTGGAGGTGTGTGTGTGTGTGTGCGTATGTGTGTGTGTGTGTGTGTGTGTGTGTGTGTGTGTGTGTGCGTGTGAGTGCGTGCGTGCGTGCGCGCGCGTGAGTGCGTGCGTGCGTGCGTGCGTGCGCGCGCGTGTGTGTGTGTGTGTGTGTGTGTGTGTGTGTGTGTGTGTGTGCGTGCGTGCGTGCGTGCGTGCGTGCGTGCGTGCGTGCGTGCGTGCGTGCGCGCGCGCGCGCGTGCGTGTGTGTGTGTGTGTGTGTGTGTGTGTGTGTGCGTGTGTGTGTGTATTTGTGTGTGCGTGCGTGCGTGCGTGTGTGCGTGCGTGTGTTTGTGTTTGGGGTAAACCATACACTTCTAATCTAGCCGGCACGCAGCAACTCACACAGCGGCCCAGTACCTTCTCGGCCAGCGGCCAGAGACTCTACAGCTTACCCTGCACAGGCCAGCTTACAGAACGTTCGCCCCAAGCGCCGCCTGCCTGGTGTACTTGCACGCATATTTCGCTCACCCCGTTCAGATGTCACCCCTCCGTGTATACATGTGTCCTCACACATCTGCTTCGCTTCGATGTGGATCCCTCTCCCTACCACCGCCTGGCTGGCGTACACTCTGTGCCCTTGTGGGCCCACTGTCATTGTCTAAACCTCTTGCGCCTTTCTGTTCTCTGCTACGCCCGCCAGGCGAAATTTGTTGGGCCACAGGCCCAGTCGGCATTACTCGCGCCACACAGGCGCTGCGTCGCCGGAACACCGCAGCAGCCAACATGCCTCTGTGTGGCCGACGTCAAGAAATGAGGAGGAGGAGGAGGCGGAGGGGGAGGCGGAAGAGGAAGCGGGGGCGGAGGCGGAGGCGGAGAAGAAGGACGAGGAGGAAGCGGAGGAGGAGGGGGAGGCGGAGGAGGAGGAGGTGGGGGAAGAGGAGGAGGAGGTGGATGAGGAAGAGGTGGAGGAGGAGTGTGGGCAAGGAGGAGATGGAAGGGAGGCGAGGATGAAGATGTGGAGGAGGATGATGATGATGATGATGATGAGGAGGAGGAGGAGGGACACACCTTGACAATATGGGGCGGAGGGACAGGATGACGGGGAGAAGGAGAGGCAGGAGGAGGGGCAGGAGGAGAAAGGAGGAGGGGGGAGGAGGAGAGGGGAGGATAAGAGCGGAGAGGCGAGGAAGGAGGGGCAGAACAGAGTGAGTTGGCGAAGGATGGCGAACGGGAGGGGCACGATGAGCAGGAGAGGCACAGGAGGCAGAGCTCGTCGTCGTCCTCTCGCCTCCTTCGTCCTCCCTGGAAGAGGAGCCCGTCGTCGGTGGGGCCGCCGCGGGGGCGCCTCTTTTGTTCGCGGCGTCGGCAGCGATGGCCAGAGGAGGAGGAGGAGGAGGAGGAGGAGGAGGAGGAGGCGGGCTATGAAGTGGCGAAGTGGCGGTGATGGTGCTGGTCACGGCTCCATCCACGGCAACACGTACAGCCGGGGCCCTGCAGAAGGAGCCCGTTTCGTTGGGGAGGGGCTCGGTGTTCCTTGACCGTTCTGCGGTTTGCCTTCGGCGTTCCTGAGGTTTCCCGTGGGAAATCGAAGTTCAGCTTATGGGAGAAAGGGGCCCCGTTCCTTATTTAGGGTTCCTTAGGTCAACGCCCCGACTGTATCGAGTGTCCTGCCCGTCGTGTCGTTTGGGCGTATGGCTGCCTTTCCAAAGATACGGGTGCGCGCGGCTCGGGGTTGGCGCTGGTCGCCGGCCTCGAGCCGGGGTGGCGACGGCGGTGGCTCATTGGGGTCACCACTGCGACGTTTTGCGCTGGTGGTGACGACTGTTTTGGAGGCGACGGAGGCGGTGGTGGTGGTGATGGTGATGGCGATGAGGATGAGAACTGTAATTGTATCACGACGATGGTGATGATGTTGTCCGTCGCCATTGTAGCCGCTGGCCTTGACTGCTTCGCAAGAGGCCCGAAGCGAGCGCCTGCCTGGCTGACGCCATGGCGTGTGGCCCGGGCATGATGAGCTGCTCGCAGTGCAAGTTTCTCCAGGACACCCTGGCTGCAGCCGAGGACGTGATCATCAGCGAGCTGGACATCGAGCTCAACCAGCAGGGGGAGGAGCAGTTCCCCCACCTGGAGAACGAGGAGAGGCGGGCCCGCAAAGACGAGGAGCAGCAGGTGCACATGGCCAGGCGGCGGCGGGCAGAAGCGGAGGCGCTGTGGCGGGCGGAGGAGGAGGCGCGCAATCACGCGGAGAACCTGCGGCGCCGCGTGAAGGACGCCGAGAGGGCCTTCAAGGATGAAAAGGCCCGCTTCGAGCAGCTGAGGAGCGACCGCGAACGGGCCGAGCAGGCCGAGGGCGCGATTCGCACGGAGGCGAAGCGCCTCGCGTCCGAGAGGGAGAGGAAGGCAGCCGTGCTGGCCTTCCTGCAGGAGCACGGGTTCAGCAGCGTCGACAAGGCGAAGCGCAAGATGCTGAGAAAGAACTACCCTATCCACGTGGCTGCGGAGAAGGGCGACGACAGAATGGTGCAGATGCTCTTGAAGGAGGGAGCAGACGCATCCCAGCGCAACTCCGCAGGCCGGACGGCGATGCAGATTGCCGTTGACAAGGACCGAGGGGCCCCAAACCACGTACAGGGTCGGGCTTGACTGAGACACACTTGCTTTTCAAAAGGGGCTCGGTCGTTCCTTTGGCTTGCATGCATTCCGCTGCCTTATTGGCGGCGAGCCCCCCTGGTGTTCTTTCGGACTTCGTAGATTTGCTTTGAACAAAAGGGGCCTCGTTCCTTATGTATCGCTCCGTAGGTCAGGCCGAATACAGCCAACCCGCACAGGAAGGATGAGCAACCTTCTCAAGGGTACCCTTGCATCCCTGCCTCCTCGGTCCATCCTCGGCCACTTCGGTTGGCCGCGCCCCGGTCGGGAAGCTTCGAAATGGGTTCCCAAGGCCCTTGCACCCTCATCGCGCATCCTTACTATACGGGTTGACTGTACTGTACAGCATAGATTTGTAGCCTCTTGAGCAGTGAGTGCCCTTCCCCCCGCCCGCTCTCCGCGACCGCCCTCCGCCTCCTTGCCCCCCTCGCGCCGCTGGACAATTGGTATTAAGTCGGGCCTGTCCCTCTGCAGGGGGGATATTCAAAAGTAGTCACCAAAAAACAATACGGGGACAATGCTTTGAACATGTTTTGACCTTTTTGGGATATTTGTTAGACTATTTTTTATTGCTCGTCCGAAATTCCCCTGAAGGAGGACATGCCCGACTTACAATTGGTACGCCATGCCTGGGGCTACGGGAGAGCGCGTGCGGATGGCTTCTGCCGCGCCGCGACGAAACAAGTCTGGGGCAGCGGATCGCCCCACAGTGTCGCCAACAGTGCCGCCAGCCACAGGAGGTGGTTCGAGAGCCCCCGCATCGGTTCTGCCCTGTTCGTTCTGCGCCCCCCCCCCCCCCCCCCTGGAGGCGCGCACGAGAGGGGGGTGCGGGCGGGGCGGCCCTGTGAGAAAGTAGAGGGCGTCTTACACGCCGTCCTGCCTTCTGTAGGAAGCCCTCCCAGAATCAAGGGAGGAATCACCACCTCGACCCCCACTACTGGTGTTCACCAAACGGCCCTGGGCGTTTACTAAACAGCCCAGTCCGGTTTGGATTCCTCCAATGGGTTCGTTTACTGAACGGCTTCGCTTGCTGGGGTGCTTATCATGAGGGTGGTTTTTTCTGCTCTTTACACAGAATCCTCGCGTGCCTTCTAGGAGCGGCGCCTTGGCAGGAGGTCCCCCGCCCCCGCGTGCGCGCGCGCGGCCAAGACCTTCGGCCTCATGCTTGCTTGGCAGCGCGCCCCCCGCCCCCCCCCGCGGGGATCCCGACCACCCCTGGTGGCACCAGCTCCTCGTCCCAGGTCGGTTTTCTCGACGGCCCTGCGGCACGGGCACGGCGGGGCTCTGGAACCAGATCGCGCAGGATTTCTGATCGGGCCTCGTTCCTGGCATCGCTCGGACGTGTGCGTTTTTTCCTCGGCGAGGACCATCGAGGAGCATCCGTGATCATTTGGCGAAAAAGCCACGCACGAAACCGACGAAAAACACAGGGAATGGACGTCCGAGCGATGGCCAGCGTTTGCTGACGCTCTGGCGCTCCGGCGCCGCACCCGCAGCACCCCAGACGGTGCCCGCGCGCGGGCTTTTGCTTCGTGCTCCGTGCCCCCGGGTCACGGGCAGGGGCCCCTGGTGGCTGAAGAGGGCCCCGAGCGTGCCACATCCTCATGCTCCACGATGCGGGGAGGTCTGGGTCTCCTTTCGGTGACCGTCGTCGCCGTCGCCGTCGCCGTCGTGGTCGTCGTCGTCGTCGTTGTCGCCGTCGCCGTCGCCACCGTCACCGCCGTCGTCGTCGCCGTCGTCGTCGTCGTCGCCGTCGCCGTCGCCGCCGCTACCGCCGTCGTCGTCGCCGTCGTCGTCGTCGCCGTCGTCGTCGTCGTCGTCGTCGTCGTCGTCGTCGTCGGCGTCCTCGTCGGCGTGTCCTCGTTGGCGCGGGCCTCCTCGGTCGTCTCCTCGCCGTGGTGTGGGAGGCCATCCCTGTGCCGACGCCCGTGGCCGATTCGAGGACCGCGACAACTCCCACCAGGCCGTGGTGCGCACGCTGCAGCGCGCGCTCAGCAACGTGAGCTTCGACGCCAGCATCGCGCCGTCCGAGGCGTCCACCCCGGGCCCCTGCCGCCGGGCCCGTGCGAGCCAGGCGTCCACCCCCGGCAGCGAGTGCGGGGCGGACGCTCTGTCCCAGAGCTGCGACAGCGTGCAGCGCAAGGCGACCTCGGAGCAGGAGCCGTATACAGTCGGGGCCCTGAAGAAGGAACCCTTTTCGTTGGGGAGGGGCTCCGCGTTCCTTAAGTGTTTCGCAGCTTGCCTCAGGTTTTACTTTTGTTTTCGATCGGAAATCGAAGTTTAACTTATGGACAAAAGGGGCCTCGTTCCTTATTTTGGGTTCCTTAGGTCAAGGCCCCGACTGTACGGTCGGGAGCTTTTGCTTCGCGCGTCGCGCCGCCGGTTCTGGTCCACCGCGCTTCGGGGCGGCACGCCGACGACGTCCCAGCCCCCAGGCGTGAGCGTCTCCAGCCGTTCTTCGCCTCCCGCCTCGCGCAGCGGAGCGACACGCCAGTCGCAAGCATGGCAGAACCTGTCGCCGGGGCCGCAGGCGCGACACGCTGAGCAAATGTTCTTGATCGTAACAGGTTTTTGTTCTTAAGCATTTTTTTTTGTGTGTGTGTGTGTGTTTGTGTGTGGGTGTGTGTGTGTGTGTTTTGGCGCCTGGGGGGTGGTTTCTGGCCCTGCGGCCGTCAGGAATCGATGCAGGGCGAAACACTGGCCATGGTGGAGTCCAGGATGGCGGATGTTGGTCGGGATGGGGCATCGGAGGAGCATATGTCCATACCTGTCCCCCGCAACTGTGGATTAGAGTGATGGGAGCGCCAGGGCTGGGATACACCCACAGGCGCGGATGTTTTTGTTGGGGGAACTGCGGTCGAGCGTATGATTGATAAATCTCCTCCTGGAAAGCTGGGCCAGCGTTTCTAAACCACTTGCCAGAAAGTTGGCCAGTTTCTGAAGCACGATCGCCCCTGGTGCACGGACGAAGAACAGTTGGCCCACTTGCGCTCTAAGAAACTCCTGGGAACCTTGCCCAGGTCTATTAAACAATGTTTTGATTACTAACTGTTTTCAATTGTAATGTGGTTGAGTCGCCCCGCCGCAGGCGCCGAGACGGTTGAAGCAATGTCGCGGGTGGTTCGCTCCTCGGGTGGGTTGCGAGAGGGTCGCTGCGCGAGTGGGTCGCGTGGCCGTGGAGGGCGGGTCGCGGGGCGACGACGACAACAAGATCAATCTTGATTATCTTGAGGACGTCCGCTCCTCCTCGCTCGCGTGCCACTCACCGTGCGAGGCGTTCCAGGAGTGGCCTCGCTCGAAGGAGCTGCCATCTCGTCCTCGACGGAAGACGGCGGAGAGGGCGGCGGAGGGCGGCGGCAGTCGAGCGAGGGCGGCAGCCGCGGGCGGAAGGGGCCAGGCCGCGCAGCCAAGCAGGCGAGCGGGCGTTCACGCAGGCGAGCCGGCGGGCACTGCCGAGCGGGTCGGGCGGGCGGACCCCAATGAGGGGGTCGGGCGGGTGAGGCATTCCAGCGAAGCGTGCACAGTGTCAAGAAGCTCAAGGCAGAAGCGGGGGCCTAGAGCAGATTGCGAGGGAGTCTCGTGCGAGGGCGTGACTCTGGGCTTCGAGAGCGCTTCGCCGTCCTGCATTGTGTGAGGACTTCCTGGGCAGGCGCCCGATTCCCTTCGACAAGTGTGCGGACGGCGAGAGCGACCGCGTGGCCCCTTAAAGATAGCGAGGGCGTCACAGGCGGGAGCAGTTATTCTTGTAGTCCGGTGACCCAGCAACGCAGTTTGAGCATCAATCCTCTCTCTGACAGACAGGAGGGTGCGAGCCTCAGGGGGGGCTCTCCAATGGAAAAGCACAGGATGGGCACGGGTGGTGGTATAAACGACATTCGATCATGGGAAGACTGTTCGCTCCCCCTTGCCAGCGCGCTCTTCAGACCCTGGGCTCCCGATTCCCGCCCTCCTCTCCGTTTAGGAGCGTGCTCCTCTTGGGGGGTCCCTTTTCACGCCAGCTCTTGGGCCAACCCCGACAGGGCCACGCAGCCAGGTCGGGCGGGCGGAATGGGCGGGTCGGGCGGGCGGGAGCCTGACGGGCGGGACGGGCGGGCGGGACAGCGGAGCGGGCGGGCGGGTTCTCGTCCCACGCAGGGCGGAGCCAGCACAGCGGGTCGGCGGGCGCGGCCGCAGACAGGGCGGCCAGACCCTGACGGGCGGGTCGGGACGACGGGCCCTGACGGGCGGGTCGGGCGGGCGGTCCCGACCGGGCGGGTCGGGCGGGCGGGCCCAAACGGGCGGCCGGGCGCGCAGGACATCATTCATGCGCGATTTCTGGACATATCTTGGGGTGGCATCGGGCGACGGTGCGATTCCGAAGTGGTTTGTATGGAAGTCCTGGGCGAGAGAGAGAGAGAGAGAGAGAGAGCACAGGTCTGGAGTGGCGAGAGCGCGATGCATGAGTAAATTGAAGAGAGAGGTCCCACGGAAGAGCTCGATTCCAAAAATCAATTCCATGGAAGTTAAAGGCGAGAGCGCGATTCCTGAGCACATTGGGATGAGGTCTCGAGCGAGAGCGCGATTCCTGAATAAGTTGTGGGGATGTCTGATACGGGAAACGCTGAACTCTCCTTACTGTTGATCCCCCCTCCGGAAATGCTTCCCCTGGGGTTCGCACCGTTTTTTTTTGTTTCATCAGGGAAAGTCACGGGGCTCAAACTGTGCTCCTGGCACCCTGTTTACAACAACAACGGCTCCCGCCTGATACTTCCTCACCATGTATTCCCAAGTCGTGCTCTCGCGCGGGACTTCCTCACACATTGTATTCGAATCGCGCGCGTCGCGCTCTAGCGTGGGACTTCCTCGCAGTTTATTCAGACGATGCGCCCTCGGCGCTCAGGAATCACGCTCTCGCTTAGGCTTTGTTAGCGATTTACTTGGAAATCGCGCTGTCGCTCGAGACTTCCTCGCGATTCATGCAGGACCCACGCTTCAGCCTTCCACCCGTCTTCTCTTCCCTTGATTTAGGGGCTGCACTAAATGCACGTGGCAGGTAAGGAAGATATACCCCCTTGGGGGTACGATCGAAGACGTCGAAGGCGGGTACCGAGGGTTTGGGATGTACGTAATTATTGGCAAGTGAGCAGATCTGACCGAACAGTCTTACAATGATGATTGTTGTTGTTGTTGTTGTTGTTGTTGTTGTTGTTGTTGTTGTTGTTGTTGTTGAATTTTCATGTCTGAAGAATCATTATTGTTGATCCCCCCTCCGGTGCATGCTGCTTTTTCTCAATCAAAGTGTGCCCCTCGACGCTCGCACCCTGTTCTTTTAATCAGGGAAAGTCTTGAGGCTCAAACTGGGCCCCTGGCCCCCGGATTGCAGCAACAACGGCTCCCGCCTGAGGCTTCCTTACAATTTAGCCAGGACCCCCGCTCCCGTCGGAAACTTCCTCGCATTTTATTCAGGATTCGCGCTCTCGCTGGGGCCTTCCTTACACTTTATCAAGGAATCGCTCTCCCAGCGCTCTGGAGTCGCGCTTTCGCTGGAGACTTGCTTGCAATTTACTGCAGCGCTCTTGCGTTGGAATTTCCTGCAATTTATTTACGCGCCGCGCTCCCGACACCCAGGCACCCAGGAGTCGCGCTCGCGCTTAGGGCTCCCTCACAGATTACCTCGGAATCGGGATCTCGCTGCCCTTCGTGGTCCCGTTGCAGCCCTTCGTGGCCCCCTCGCTTTGTTTCGTGGCCCCGTTGCAGCCCTTCGTGGCCCCCTCGCTGCCCTTCGTGGCCCCGTTGCAGCCCCTCGTGCCCTCCTCACTGCCCTTCGTGGCCCCGTTGCAGCCCTTCGTGGCGCCCTCGCTTTGTTTCGTGGCCCCGTTGCAGCCCTTCGTGGCCCCCTCGCTGCCCTTCGTGGCCCCGTTGCACCCCTTCGTGGCCCCCTCGCTGCCCTTCGTGGCCCCGTTGCAGCCCTTCGTGTGGCCCCCTCGCTTTGTTTCGTCGCTTTGTTTCGTCCCCCGTGGCAGCCCTTCGTTTGCAGCCCGTTGCTTTGTTTCGTGGCCCGTTGCAGCCCCCCCGTTGCAGCCCTTCGTGGCCCCGCTCAGCCCGTTCGCTGGCCCCGTTGCAGCCCTTCGTGGCCCCCTCGCTGCCCTTCGTGGCCCCGTTGCAGCCCCTCGTGCCCCTCGCTGCCCTTCGTGGCCCCGTTGCAGCCCTTCGTGCCCCCCTCGCTTTGTTTCGTGGCCCCGTTGCAGCCCTTCGTGGCCCCCTCGCTGCCCTTCGTGGCCCTGTTGTGGCCCCGTTGCAGCCCTTCGTGGCCCCCTCGCTGCCCTTCGTGGCCCCGTTGCAGCCCCGCGTGGCCCCCTCCCTTCGTGGCCCCCTCGCCCTTCGTGGCCCCCTCGCTTTGTTTCGTCGCTTTGTTTCGTGGCCCCGTTGCAGCCCTTCGTGGCCCCGTTGCAGCCCCTCGTGGCCCCATATATATATATATATATATATGTATGTATATATGTATGTATGTGTGTATATATATATATATATACACGCCCTTCGTGGCCCCCGCTCGTTCGCGCCCGTGGTGGCCCCATATGCGCACCCTTCGTGGCCCCGCTGTCGCTTCGTGGCCCCCTCGCTGCCCTTCGAGGCCCCGTTGCTGCCCTCAGTGGCCCCGTCCTTGCCCTCCGCGGCCCAGTATACGTATGCCCTTCGTGGCCCCCGCTCGTTCGCGCCCGTTGCGGCTCCATGTGCATGCCCTTCGTGGCCCCGCTGTCGCCGTTTGTGGCCCCCGCACTGTCCGACGTGGCCCAGTTGCTACCCTCAGTGGCCCCATCGTTGCCTTCTGTGGCCCCGCATTATCTGCCCTTCGTGGCCCCCGCTCGTTCGCGCTCTTCGTGGCCCCATACGCATTCCCTTCGTGTCCCCGCTGTCGCCCTTCGTGGCCTACTTCGTGTCCTTGTGGCCCTGCTGTCGTTCTCTCTCGCTCTCGCTTTCGCTCGTCGTCGTCGTCGCCGTCGTCGTCGTCGTCGTCGCAGTCGTCGTCGACGTCGATGTTGTCAATGTCGTCGTCGTCGTCGTCGTGGTCGGTCCCCTGTCCGTCCCTCTTGGGGTCGGGTCGACGGTCCGCGGCCGCTCCGCCGATCAGCGCTGCCGCTGGCCAGGCCGACGGTCCGCGGC